TTTCATAAGCAAGTATAAAGAATAACATATATGAATGAAAATTAAATCCGTATAGGAATCATTTCGTGTATGAATCCTACCTTAATTATTGGTGATGAGATAGTCGTTGAATCGAATTTCTTTCCAAAACTTTTCTAAAGATTAGAGGTGAAACTGGAATCTTTGTTCCCTGCTATGTTTCTTTGGAGATTTTTGAAAACTGAAATCTGTGTGCCTTGGAAGGTTGGGTGAAAATTAAATTCAATGTAGTAGAATTTGGATAGGAATAGGTTTGTCATTATAGGATTAGGATAGGCTTAGCTAATTCAAATCTTTAACTAAATTTGACGTAAATCCAAATTCAAGTTTAATTTAAATTGCATGATTAAAAAAAACAATAAATAACTTCCAGATAACTTTCATACTAAACCAAAATATTAAAACACCCCATTTGATTTCACACGTCACATGGCTGCCAAAATTAATTGATTAAACCCCCTAATTAACTTAATTAAGCCTGTGAATTCTTTGAACATAAATATCATGGGCCTAACTAATCCAAAACAACTTTTTCTCAGGTACATAATTCGCCATTTAATATGAGCTTCGAAACAAGCCAAAAATTGATATGAAGATTTTTGCTAGATGAATACTTGATTATTTGACCGAAAGCTTTTTTTTTTTTTTTTTTTTTTTTTAAACAAAAAATCAATTCTCTCCACCAATGATGTGGGTCCCCTTTTATTTCTGAGTGGCTAATTCTCCTTGGACAATGCCCAGGAGGTTGTCACCCAAGAATAACTCTTTCTGAGTTGTATTGTGGGAAAACTGGTAGGTATTGACTAATACCTAATAAACAAAATTTCAAATCAATTTGTACTGAAAAATCTATTTTCTCTTTAATTGAAATTCAAATCTGGGAAAGAATACCCACCGTTGGGAAGGACAACTCAATCTTTTTTTTTTTTTTTGATATACTGGTATCTCAGCTTACACTAGACTAAATCCTGGACCTCCAAAACCCTTGCCCCTAGAATCTTGGAGGGGGTAAATCGCGGGTTATGCCTCAACTGGATCACAGGTTCCCCCCATTGCCTGTATACTTCTGCGCACAAGAAACCCTCCTCCATACCAAATATTTGGCTGCAGGTTCCCACTAGGAATCGAACTCTCCACCCTGCCGCTGGAAGCAAGACAATGTTAATTGATCCACCAGTTGAGCTGTGCCCCGGGGGACGGACAACTCAATCTTTTGACATTGTTGAGTGGTATATGGGACAATTGGATGAGTGGAAGAGTTATCCTAGTCGATCTATGCTTCATTTTTTATTATTTTTTTGAATTTCAAAATTTAGGAATGAAATAAATAGGAACTCAAATAAGGGCTAAATCCTCATCTATTTTGAAAATTTAGCCCAAATTCTTACAGTAAAATATTTTGTATGTAAATTAAAATATTTTCCTACCATTTAATCACATATTATCTTAAAAAGCACTATTGCAAGACTCTTTTTGATACAATAATGGACATCTGAGAGGGGCTTAGTCTATCTATTTATTTATGCAATATATTTCTAATTAGATTATACAAGATTTTAACCAAAAAAAAAATTAAAAAAATAATCACATTATAATTTAAAGTCAAAATCAAATGTTAATTTTAACCAAACATTTACAATTATTATTCACTAATAAGGTGAATACATCTCAAGTTGGACAATTTTTGAATTATTTTCAAACAAAACCATTTAAAAAAAAATTCAGACCAAACCAAACAAATCAAACTAATTCATTTTCCCAAATTAAAACATTTTTTGCAATTTGATTTTTTTTTTTAAACTATGATTTTAGCAATAAAATAACTTCTTTCAAACATATTTCAGTAAAATACTTACATTAAACTATTTAACTTGCGTTTGCGAAGAACTTACAAATGATTTAATTTAAAAATAGTTAAAATAAGTGATGAATAAATTTATAACGCTTATGGATTCATTGAAATGTATTATTGAACACGACGTGTGACTTAATATAAAGGTTATTATCCTAGCATATTTGTCTCAATATAAACTTAAATCAATATAAGTTCATCTATAAAAATCAAGTTTACAATTTTTAATCTTTAGATTAAAAAATATTATCATAAATAAATTTTATTTTCCTCAACAGCTAATAGAAGTCGAGTAGCAAGTAAATTTATTGAAGTTACTCTAACCAACACCATATCTTGGATTAAAAAAAAAAATGTAACTTAAAAAAAAATAAAAAATAAAAAACTGGGTGAATGGCTTGGTTTGATTTCAAATGATTTTTAACTATCCAAACCTAAATCGAATCATTTTTAAACGTTTTGATTATCAAAACTTCAAACTCGCAATTTTGATTCAATTTGGCGGGTTGGCGGTTCTTTTTCTTTTTTTCCATCTCGACTCACTCATTATCCATATATTTCATCAAATTAATTACCTTGTTTTATTGTAATCCCATTTATTTTTTCCCATACGAGCACCAAGTTTATGGCATTAAAGTCAATTAAATGAAGAGAAAATTTCATAACTAAGAAATTAATTATGGCACATTTCAAAAACAAGAAAACAAGTTTCAAATTTCAAAAATCAGATTTTTATTAAAAATTATTTATAATTTAATTAATTAATTAATTAATTTAGTAATTTAATATATTTAAGTCATAGATTTATATAATTTGGTCACAAATTAACGATTTAATTCATCACTTATTATTTTTTGGTCACAAATCAGAAATTTTATGTCACAAATTATTTTGCGGTCATAATTCAAAATTTTTATAAGTCACAGTTTGTTCATTAGTCACAAATCGAAAATTTATACGTTACAATTTATTTATAGGTCACAGATCTTAAATACTATAGGTCACAAATTATTAATTTTTTAGGTCACAAATTAACGATTTAATTAATCGCTTATTATTTTTTTTGTCATAAATCAGAAATTTTATGTCACAAATTATTTTACGGTCATAATTCAAAAATTTTATAGGTCACAATTTGTTCATTGGTCACAATTCGAAAATTTATACGTTACAATTTATTTATAGGTCACAGATCTTAAATACTATAAGTCACAAATTATTAATTTTTTAGGTCACAAATTAACAATTTAATTCATCACTTATTATTTTTTGGTCACAAATCATAAATTTTATGTCACAAATTATTTTACGGTCACAATTCAAAAATTTTATAGGTCACAGTTTGTTCATTGGTCACAAATCGAAAATTTATACATTACAATTTATTTATAGGTCACAGATCTTAAATACTATAAGTCACAAATTATTAATTTTTTAGGTCACAAATTAACGATTTAATTCATCACTTATTATTTTTTGGTCACAAATCATAAATTTTATGTCACAAATTATTTTACGGTCACAATTCCAAAATTTTATAGGTCACAGTTTGTTCATTGGTCACAAATCGAAAATTTATACATTACAATTTATTTATAGGTCACATATCTTAAATACTATAAGTCACAAATTATTAATTTTTTAGGTCACAAATTAACGATTTAAATCATCACTTATTATTTTTTGGTCACAAATCAGAAATTTTATGTCACAAATTATTTTACGATCACAATTCAAAAAATTTATAGATCACAGTTTGTTCATTGGTCACAAATCAAAAATTTATACGTTATAATTTATTTATAGGTCACAAATCATAAATACTATATGTCACATCTTATTGGTCACGTATTATTTATTAGTCACATATTAACCAGTTTAATGGTCACAATTAACAAATTAATCTGTGACCACCACTAAACAATCACCCTCCAACACTGCTGCCGGCACTAACATCATCCTACATCAAACACCACGACCAAAAACAAATCAATACATCCGAGACCACAACCACCAATAGTTCACCGTCACCGCCGCATCCACTGCCACGACCATTGTCTCTACCTCCACGACCATCGTACCACACAACACCACCACCAACACAACCAAAACCACCACAACCACCGCACCGCCCCCACGATCACCACCACCATCGCACCGCCCCCACTAGAAAAAATCCCCAATCTGCCACTGGACTCTACCACCATCCCACCGCCCGTATCAACAACCGCCACCACTCGTATCACCAATGAAACACTGTCGCCAATGCCGTCACTTTCTCACCACCTCCTGCACCACCAACGATTCAACCACGCCACCGACACCGACATCGACACCCCCCTCTATCACTACCACGCCACAGATACAATCCCCATCCAAAAATTTCCCCCAAGTCGCGGCTATAGGCACCACCAGAAATACCACCACCTTGCTAAATCACTGCACGACCACCACGAGACACCACAAAATGACAAGAAAAACCACCTGTAAACACCACTATACCACAAACACCATCAATTATAGTTCCCTATGTCCTCCGCAAAACCAATGGTGAGCACCGCCATGCCCATGGCAGCAGCCAGATCTATGGCTGGAGTTCCATTTAAGGTGGGCAAGCAACGAACTGAGAGCAGTGGGATCGGCTAGATCTGTGGCACCAAACCACGATCTGCAATGGCGAAGAAAGAGATAGGATATTGACGATGGTGCTGCATGCGGTGGAGAGAGAGACGGCCAGCGGCTTGACGTGCTTTTAGGAGACTATGACCATCGTCGATCGGTGAAGGCGTAAAGAGAGACGGCGGCATCTCCACCTGAAGAGAGAGAAAGGAGAGAATGAGGCGATAGAGAGAGAGAAAGTTAGGGTTTGTGAGTAAAATTATTTATTTTATAAAATATTAATTAGAATAAAATTTTTGATTTTTGAAAGGTTGAACTTGCCCTCTGATTTTAGAATTGAAGATTTTAATGATAAGGTTCGTGTAATTACCACTTAAATGAAAGTAGTTACAAAGCCCAAGTGGCCCAAAAGGTATGACAAGGTCACGCGATTTGCACGTGAGGAACCCATATTACTAGTAGCGTGGTTTTCACGCTGGAATAAATACTTAAAATTGATAAACCATTGACTTTTAAAATAAATAATATAAAAAGTCTCCCTATACCGTCCAATTTCCTCTGTATATTCTCTCCGTCAGCAGATTCTTCCAAAAAATTAATTAAAAAAAAAAAAAAAACCCATCGCTCTCAGCCTTTAAAGGCCCTTCAGATACTCATTTGCTGCTCATATTTTGTGTCTTCACAGATTTTAGAGTGAGAAATTAGAGTTATTTTTGGAGAAAATGTCAGGCGGTATTGCTCGTGGGAGACTCGCTGAAGAACGCAAATCGTGGCGAAAAAATCATCCCCATGTAGGATAACATTTTTCAATGAAACTTTTCTTGTTCTTTTGAGTTATTTTTCGTTGCTAAGATTTTTTCTTTTTTCATTTTTTCCTTTTCTGAAACAGGGTTTTGTGGCAAAGCCGGAGACACTGTCTGATGGGACTGTGAATTTGATGGTGTGGCACTGTACAATCCCTGGTAAACCTGGGGTAAGTATTTTATAGCCTTTTTTTATGGGTATTCTCTCTTTCTC